GTGTTAAACGCCTACAACAGCCACGCTTGTGTGTGAGAACACAATTCCCAGCATGCCGTGCAGTTTCATCTGCGGTGTGCGTCACACTTTGAAGGATCTTTCCTCTGCTGGATGCTATCAATTAAGACACACACAAACACACACATGTGCACACACAGTGATGTGTGTGTGTGTGTGTGTGTATTTGTGCATGTGTGTGTGTGTGTGTTTGAAATAGAAAAATAATTTAACTTTAAGCTGAAGTTCATATACACTGTAAAAAAAAATGTTGGGTTAAAAAAAAATTGGGGGGGACAACCCAGCGCTGGTAAAATATACACATGCCGGGTTATTTTGAACCAGCTGGTGGCGTTAAACGTTTGACCCAACATGCTGGGTTGTTTTATTTTACTCAACTATTGTTTAAAAGTGACTATATTGCTGGCTTAAAATGGGTTGGAAATTAGAAATCACTCACATAATTACTAGAGGCAACAGTAATAATCAAAAGGTGAACGTTTATTAATAAGCTAGAACACCCATGGACAAAAATATAAGACAAATTTAATTTATTTGGATGAATACAGTTTACAATATTACACACCAGGACCAGTGGGGAGAAAGGTGGTGGTGATGATTTTAGGGGCGATTTCATCCGACTGCTCAAGGCCAGCATGAAGGACAGAAGCGCGTCATGAAAGCTTATTGTTCGCATGTGTTTTTGCCAAATTAAACATTCAAGAGATTTTAAAGCATTTAAAGCACAAGAAGACGTGAAATAACTGAACTGACTGTAGTCTCAGACAAACACAGACTTTAGCTCTCTTTCACATCTTCATGTGCTTGAACATACACCCCGCCAATTTAAAAATGCAAGCACAAAAAGACACAAAAGAGCCGAATTCAGCATTCTGTGCGCGTCTCACAGCCTGTTAACACTGAATTGAGTTTTGCGTCTTCTTGCACTTGAACGGACAAATGCATACGAAATTATGTTGGAATAGCAGTCTTGGCGAGTATCCTCGGAGAACGTCTCAAGGTTACATATGTAACCCTAGTTCCCCGAGGGAACGAGACTCTGCATCGAACGCTTTGGGAACGCCTTCAGCGAGACTATGCTCTGAATCGTGTGTGTAATCAGACCAATGGATGGGCGTGACGTCACGTACGGGGTGTGCGTGTGACCAGGAAGCTATAAAAGCACGTGAGGTGGAGACAGTATCTCGTTCCCTTGGGGAACTAGGGTTATAAACATAACCTTGAGACGTTCCCCTTCAGGAACTCGAGCTGCGTCGAATGCTTTGGGAATGAGATGCCCACGCCGCCAGACTTTCAAGTCCCTCCGTAGTGTGTATGACTTCAGCACAACTACGGCAAGAGGACGGAGGAACCAGGAGCGGTACGAATGTCGAGGTCGACCTGATGAAGGTGAGCGGCGTGGACCAGCCCGCAGCGTTACATATATCCTGCATAGCCACACCCGACAGGAAGGCCTTAGAGGCCACCACACTTCGGGTGGAGTGAGCCTTGACCCCTAAGGGTGAGGGAAGGCCAGAGGACTCATATGAAATAGTAATGGCATCAACAATCCACCTCCTGAGGGTCTGCTTAGTGGCAGGCACCCTTCTTGGAAGGACCATAACAAACAAATAATTGGTCAGACTTCCTCCACATGGCAGCTCTGTAGACATATGTGTGGACACATGCAATTTAACTTCTGCTGGTCAGGCTTCCTAAAGGGGGGAGGACAGAAAGCCTGAAGTACGACGGGCCGTGGTACTGAGGAGGGCACTTTAGGGACGTACCCCAGCCTGGGGTACAGAAAAGCTTTGGCCAAGCTGGGCGCAAAGTCTAGGAAGGAGGGGGCCACTGACAATGCCTGGAAATCTTCGACTCTGTTCAGTGAAGTGATGGCTAACAAGAAGACAAACTCGAATCTGAAACCTCCTCGATAGGTTCGAACGGAGGTTTCCAGGACCACGGCCAGGTCCCATGTTGGAAAACGAGGTCGTACGGGAGGCCTCAGCCTCAGCGCACCACAGAGGAAACGTGTAACCAGGGGGGTGTCTTCCTGCAGACTGACCACCGAGAGGGGCGTGGTAAGCAGTTATAGCCGCCACGTACACCTTCAGGGGGGAGTGGGTCAACCCTGCAGAGAATCTAGCCTGCAAGAACTCTAGCACTGAACCGACTGGGCAGTTAACTGGGTCAAGCTGGCGATCTCTATACCAGGAAGTGAAGAGTTTCCACTTCAGGGCATACAGTTTCCTCGTTGAGAGGGAGCTCTGTATTGGAGGATAGTCTCAACAACCTCGGTTGAGCAACCGGAAGCTACGAGTTGTGCCCCCTCAGAGGCCACACCCAGAGTCGCAGCTCCGGGCGGGGGAGATAGATCGTACCCCCCGCCTGTGAGAGGAGATCCCTCCTGATGGGGCTCTCCCATGGAGAGTCATCGAGAAGGGAAATAGGTCCGAGAACTATACTCAGCCTGGCCAGAACGAGGCTACTAGTAACAGAGGGACCCTGTCCCGGCGCACTCTCTCCAGAACTCCCGGGAGCAGAACGATCGGGGGAAAAGCGTACAGACAAAGCCTCTGCCAAGTCTGTACCATGGCATCCAGCCTCAGTGGAGCTGGATGAGTCAGCGAGAACCATAGGGGACATTGCGATGTCTCCTAAGTCGCAAAGAGGTCCACCTGAGCCTTGCCAAAAACTCTCCATATCTGCTTCACCACCTCGGCCCCTGCCTCGACAGGACATCTGCTTCCATATTGAGATGCCCAGGGATGTAAATGGCTCTTAGAGAAAGGAGCTTCCCTTGGGCCCACACAAGGATCTGGTGCACCAGCTTGTTCAAGGGGCGAAAACACAGACCTCCCTGGTGGTTGATATAAGAGACCACCGATGTGTTGTCGGTGCACCACCACATGGTGACCTCTTAGGTCCGGCAGAAAGTATTTCAGTGCTCCAGGCAGTTGCTGTGCCAAGTGAGATGGCAACCGCTCCACAGACCACGGGCAGGGTGGACACTCATGACCGCACCCCAACCGTTGAGGGACGCATCTGTTGTTAACGTTACGCGATGACAAGGAACTCCCAGCACTGGGCCCTGTGACAAGAACCAAGTTTTCCTCCACATGTCTAAGGCACGAAAGCATTGCCGCATGACCTTGATCGTGTGAAGCGGATTTCCTCTCGGGGAAAACCCCTTGGTCTTGAGCCACAACTGTAGGGGTCTCATGTACAGCAGGCCAAAAGGTATCACGTTGGACGCAGCTGCCATCAGAGCCAGCAGTCTTTGAAACTGCTTGACAGTGAGTGACCGGCCTTCTTTGACTCTTGCGACTGCAGTGAGGATCGACTCGATCCGAGCAGGAGACAGTTCTGCCTGCATCGTGGTCGAATCCCACATCACACCTAGATAAATGGTCCTCTGTAATGGAGAAAGCACACTTTTCTTTGCGTTTAGTCTTAATCCCAACTCTTTTATATGGGTGAGAACGACAACTCGATGTCGAACCACCGTCTGCTCTGATTGAGCTAGAATCAACCAATGCGGATGCCTTGGAGTTGCAGTGGAGCCAGAGCAGCATCCACACACTTTGTGAATGTGCGGGGTGAGAGTGCAAACCTCAGGAACTTCCTGTGTTGAGGAAGGATGGAGACATGGAAATATGCATCTTTTAGATCTATTGTGACAAACCAGCCCTCGGACCTGATCTGAGACACGACCTGTTTGATAGTGAGCATCTTGAACTTCAGTTGTATGACTGAGCGATTCAACTGACGCAGATCTAAAATCAGACGCAACCCCCCATCCTTCTTCGGTACAATGAAGTACCGGCTGTAGAACCCGGATTCTCTTTCGAGAGGAGGGACCACCTCAATGGCCTCCTTCCTCAGCAGAGTATTTACTTCTTGTTCTAACACCGGAGCCTGTTCGGGACCCACCACCATTGAAACGATCCCGTTGAAATGAGGCAGAGGAGAACCAAACTGAATTCTGTAACCTTTTTCTACAGTCCTGAAGCACCGGCAGTGGCAGGGTTAACAGCTCGGCCTCCTGAGGGCACTGAGGAGAGACGGGCACCGTATAATGAGGTGTACACCGCTCTTCCCCAGCGGGGGCTGCCCTCAGAAGCCCTGGGACACAAACATCAGGGCTTCTTTGTCGAAGATTTCTTAGCCAGAAGGACGGTCCACAGAAGCCCGATAGCTTTGGTGGTCTCTTTCATGGCGGGGAAGGACAAATCAGCGATTCGCCGGAGTTCGCTTATATCATCGACTTTAACTTCCTCACGCTCATCTAACTCTTTAAGCAGGTCTGCTTGGTACGCCTGAAGAACAGCCACCGTGTGAAGGCATGCACCAGCCTGACCTGCTGCCGTGTACCCTTTGCCCACCAGCGCTGAAGTGGCTTGGTGGGCAGTGCCGGGGCTTTAAGGGCCACACCGGGAGACAGATAGCTCGCGAGCGTCCATTCAATCCGGGGCATCGCCCTAAAACCGCACTCATTTAATCCCGTGACGTTAGAATCATCAACCAGAGACGGACTAATGAGACGGGCCGAGTATGGTTTCCACCACGATCTCGACACCTCAGTGTGGAGGTCGGAAAAAAACGGCGTGGAGGGAATGGCTTAGACCGTAAAAAACATTAATCTAATTAGCTTTTAACAGGTTCTGCCTGCTTCTCGGCGGGCCATTCGATATTTAATTTGGCCACGGCACGAGTTATCACCTCCACGAGCTCCTCATACTGTGCAGACTGTGGGGATACTGCGGCGCCCTCACCATCGCCCTCCTCGGAGGACGACAGTCTGAGCACCGAGCCCTCTCCCATGGGGGAAGAAACTGCTCCGTCGGAGCATGCTTCCGAACCCTGGGAGGTGGCGCTGGATCCGGTGGCAGAGGGAGAAGAAAAGGACTCGCCCGTCTCCATTCCCTTCACCAGATCCAGCTGCGAGCCCCATGACCGCAATCGTCACGCTGCCTCGGCAGACGTGGGACCAGAGCCGCGGGGAGTGCTGGCGAGGGCTTCCTCCTCAAAGAGAGCCCTCCGGGAGCGAAGCGTCCGCATTGAGAGGCGCTCACAATGCGGGCAGTCAGATCCCTCGAGAGTTGACTCGGCGTGCTTTGCTCCCAGACAAACAACACAAAGGCTGTGTGTATCCCCGCCCGTGATGTAGCGAGGACAGGGAGGAACACAAACCTAAACTGCTGTTTGCCTTTATCATCCCCTTTATTTGTCTTGTGCTTAGATTTTGGCATTGCTTTATCATTGGCAAAAGTGACATACAACGGTAAATAGGACATACACACACAGAGCACTTCGCTGAATGACAGAAGCTGCCGCTGTATCCACCTCATGTGCTTTTATAGCTTCCTGGTCACACGTCACCCCATCCGTGACGTCGCGCCCATCCATCGGTCTGATTACACACACGATTCAGAGCATAGTCTCGCTAAAGGCGTTCCCAAAGCGTTCGACGCAGCTCGAGTTCCTGAAGGGGAACTGTCGATTACGTCCTACGTGAACGTCAGATGTGTGTCATTATATGCGATCCATGCATTGTGTCTTAAAGAGACAGCGCCTAATTTACCAGCTGCTGTCTCTGTCCTTAATGATAATCCAAGAAAAAATAGAAGAGAGAAAATCACTCACTGCTCTTGCCTGAATTACTTAAAAATTAATCTATATTTAAGTCATACAGTGAAGACTATGCCATGCTATTTTACATTTGATTATTTGGATTCTGTACCTGAACACCTACAAACCTGAAAAAATCAAATCGTTGTTTAATTTGTATCTTTGTTCTGTTTATTTATTTGTGCAATTTGCACGATTTCAAACGAGGCCCTCAGGTACAACCTGCACTTGGGCCCCGCAAACCCCAGCTTACATTTAAACTCATATAACAAGCGTTTTAGAAATAAAAAGCGTAACATTCAAGAGAAGCATTTTAATTAAACTCTTAATAAATTTTTAAATAAATAAATACATAAATAAATCTTAGATGTGTTTCCAATTTGTTCTGTCTGTTTTGTAATTAAATAATGCACAACCAGTTTCATGGCCAGAAAAAAAAATGTATGGTATATTTTCTCAGTTCACTGCCAAAATGTTATTTTTAGGCTCTGGTTATAAAGTTAGTCAAGATTTCTTGCTCCAAAATCAGTTCTGTTATAAATGTGTTGATCATTTTCATATCAATCTGCGACTCGCGTTAATTTTAATTTGTTTAAAGGGGTGGTTAATTGTGATTTCACTTTTTTAACACACACTAGAGGCGGTTTAGCCAATCACAACACACTGGGCTAGCTAACCAATCAGAGCACTTCGCCTATTTCTGAGGGAGGGGCTTCATAAAAACATCAGAAAGAAAAGATCAGCCCGTTTCTCAGAGAAGGGACAGAGCGGTGTGGAATAAAAGTAAATTATCTGAAAAATAATGAATTTTTTTAAAACGAGGCATTAACACATGTTAGCCTGCACCCCATAAACACAATCAAGCCTAGAAAAAGACCACTGAACCACCCCTTTAAGTTCCTAAAATGCTCTAATTTACGCCAATCAACAATATATAATATATACTGGTAATATGTATTATAATAATTATAATGATAATATATCAAATATTATATACAGTAGGTTGCAAGCTGTGAGGTTGTGAGAATCTCTAGATTACACACGCGTGTTATCTGGACACAGAGACCATCAGATTACGCAGGAACTGGAGAGAAACACACAACTTGAGACGCTGATGTCCGTCTGTGTGCGTCTGTGTGTGTGTGTGTGTGTGTGTGTGTGTGTGTGTGTGTGTGTGCGTGTGCGTGTGCGTGTGCGTGTGTGTGTGTGTGTTTGCAGATGATCACTCGCGCGTGCGGCTGCAGAATCTGGACGGCGAGCAGAACTCTGATTACATTAATGCTAATTACGTTGATGTGAGTACAGAAGCAGCCGTGACCTTCTCACAAAGGTCACCGCACTCAAACACACACACACACACACACATCAAGCCACAATCACATTATATCAAGAGCACGAGCGCACACACTCACTCACCGACTGAGCCTGGTTTCTGCCAAGGTTTTTCTCCATTTCTGTCACCGATGGAGTTTCGGTTCCTTGCCGCTGTCACCTCTGCCTTGCTTAGTTGGGGACACTTCATTTGTGGCGATATTGTTGACTTTATTGCACAGACACTATTGAAGAGAGCTGAACTGGATGATGACATCACTGAATCATCAATGAACTGACTTTAGCTGAAAAACTGACTGTTTGTTTTTGTCCTCTTGCATTATTGACAAACTATGTTCCTGTTTAACACTGTAAAGCTGCTTTGACACAATCTGTATTGTATAAAGCAAAAGATAAAAAAATAAAACTTTCTCACACACACAAACACACACACACACGCACACACACACACTGTAACACACACTCACACACACAAATACACACACACACTGTCACACACACACACACACACACACACACACACACACACACAC